AATGCTTCTAGGGCTGATTGTTCGTGTCGTTCTCTGATACCTGAAACAGATGTTTCTATTTTACATTGGGCTCTTAATGCTTCTAGGGCTGATTGTTCGTGTCTTTCTCTGATACCTGAAACAGATGTTTCTATTTTACATTCTGTTTAGCTTTTCAAGTTGTGCTTGAGAGAGAGAGACTGATGGACAAAATGCTAGTAGGTCCTTGACAGAGTGACAAATGCATGTGTAATACTAACACTAGTGTCTTTAACACTTGAAACTGAATTCTAGTGAGGAACAGGTGGAGGAATATAGAATGAAGAAAAAATGGAGATAACCTCAGGGACACTGGTGGCAAAAGTAATGATGTTTTTTGGGCTAGAAGTTGATGAGGCATTGCTGAAATGATCTATTTTTATTTAACTTCTTTTGGCACAAGTGAAGTGTAATTTTCACTTGTTTGGTAGTTTATAGAGCTTGAAAGAAATATTCACTTCAGTTTTCTTCCTGCTCCTAATTTATTACCTGAAAATTCTTCATCAGAATTTATCTTTAGCTTTTTATCCATTTTTATGCAGCTTCCTTTTTATTTTTGGACTAAAATTAATTTGACAGTATTATTGCTTTTCTGTTTCTCTTGGCTTAATTTTCAGCTTCGTTTGAGTCTTGAATTATACTCCATTTTATATAGGATGAGGAAAAGTATACAGGCTCCATTCCCGTTAATCCCCCCCCCCTTACTGGTTTTTTTTTTCCTACTCTAGTATTGTGTATTATAATTTTGTTTAAGGTTTTGGTAGTATGTGCTTGGACGTAAATTTATTTTTCCCTGTGTTGCTATCATCAGAATATTACCCATATATTTATTAGTCTATCAAAATCTAGGGCAGCAGTATCCAATAAAATTGGGCTCTGCAATATGGTAGATACTAGCTGCATGTGACTGTTGAACTCATGACAAGGGGATAATCATACCATGACATTGATATTTTATTTTTTTAATTTTAACTAATTTAAAATTTAAATAGCCACATGTAGCTTGAAGCTACCATATTATACAGTGTAGTTTATGGTATAGATATAAGACCCATGTAATTAACTTAGGTAAATTTGGATTCCAGAGAATCCAAATTACTATATAAATGACTAATGTTAATCTTTATAAAATGTATTTTTATGGAAAAATTGTTTATTTTTTTCATTTTGATGTATTTATTTTTCATATTATCAATAAAATAATGGCCAAGTCAGTAATGAGAAATATAACTGTTAACTGATGTTACTATTTTTTCTTATTACAAGCCATGAAATGTCCTTTAAAAAATAAGACTATTTATGCCCTTAGGCATAAGTTTCTCTTTAAATTATTTTAAAATTTATCTTTATAATTTATAGATTTATGCTCATTTTTTTCTTTCAGTAATCATCTTGGTTATAAAAATATCATCACATATAATGGTTTTATTTACTATGAGGAATTGGACATCAATAATATATATATATTAAATAAGTTTTTTAAGTTTATTTATTTTTTAAGAGAGAGAGAGAGAATGAGAGACGGAGGGGAAGAGAGAGAAGAAATCCTAAGCAAGCTCCATGCTATCAGCAAAAAGCCCAACATGGGTCCTGCTGCGGGGCTCGATCCCACAACCCTGAGATCATGACCTGAGCCAAAATCAAAAGTCAGATGCTTAACTGGCTGAGCCACCCAGGTGCCCCAGGAGTTAGTAATATTTTATTAAGTATTTATTATAAGAATTAATTTCTTATTAGTCATCTTCTATTCCTAAATCACTGTATACAGTATGTTAATGTTCAATAATGTTATACAATTGGGAGTCTGTAATTGACAAAAGTTATAGCTTTGGGGGCAGTTTGAGGAATTTGTAATAAAAAAATAGATAGTTTTTAGCGTATTAAGGGAAAGGAATTATCTATAGTACTTTGACATTTTTGTAGATCACCAATCATCTCACAATTTTTCCTCTGTTTTAGTAAATAATAAATGATTTTAATGGAAATGGAAGAGATTATCTGACATGCAGAAAAGCCAGATATCACTTTTACTACCCATTATGGAATATCATCTTTCTATATTGCTTATTAGTGCCAGCATGAAGATTGCTACCATAATGATAAAAATGTAGTTAAATTCTAAGAAAAATAAGTGATAGAATTGTACCACAAAACCACAATAATAAATACTAAGTTGTAAAATATGTAATACGGAAATTTGTCATCAGATGAAAACTCAATACTAGTTAATAGTTTATCATTATAACCAATTAATTAGATTAATTGTAATTTACTTGACTGGGGGAAAAAGCCAAAAACTTAATAATTAAAAAAACTTGCAAAAATGGTGGTAATATCAAGATGTTGGTTGACCTTTGGTTAGCCAAAAATTATTTTGTATTATGTGTTAATAATTTTAATTGACAATATTTTACACCATGTTTTCAAAAATATATGTAATTCTAGATCTGCAGTTACATGTATAAACTAAACACATGACCATCTGACCCATCTAGAGCTCTTTTGAGTAAGCTGAGACTTGACAGATGATGGAAATATGACCTCTGATATCTGTTAACACTCTTCCTTTTTATGTTCTTTGCCTACACTGTTAGAATCACTAAACATAACATTTATAAATTTTAATACAAATTATCCATGTGCATAATGCTCATAATCACAAAATTTTTCTAAAATATTAGGAATCTGGGACACCTGAGTGGCTTAGTCAGTTGAGCATCCGACTTCGGCTCAGGTCATGATCTCACGGTTCATGGGTTCAAACCCCGCGTTGGGGTCTGTGCTGACAGCCCAGAGCCTGGAGCCTGCTTCCGATTCTGTGTCTTTCTCTTTCTCTGCCCCTCTCCTGCTCATGCTCTGTCTCTCAAAAATAAATAAATATTTAAAAAAATTTTAATATTAGGAATCTGTTTAAAGAAAATGTAATTAAAGTAAATTCACATTTCTCAGTAATAGGATTATCAACAATATGGCCTTTATATTTAAAGTTTTGTCTTGTGTGTACATGGCATCTAAAATCACAAATGTGTTGACTTCATTTTATACTTTAAAACTACACACTAATCTTTTTTATATTTTAGCCTAGTTTTAGTAATTTTATGTTTAAATATGTGTTTTATTGTGCTTTCTCAGTTTTGCCAAATGAGGTCATATTTGATATCCACATTTTAATCTTAAGCAAATTATAAATGAATATACATTTAATTTATACATTTACATATATACGTTTATCTCAAGTTGCAAACATATATATATAGTAAAAAAATCATTTTTTTCTAGTCTCTGTCTCTTATTATTCTCCCTTTTTGCTTTCTTATTTTCATCCTTTTTCTCTGTTTCCCTTGAGTGCTCTTAAAGATTTAAATTATTACCTAGCAGCCTTGCATAATTTGAGAGGTGACTCACCAAAATGATTGATCCACATTATTTAAATGGTTTCTCAACAAAGACTAGTAATGGGTTCTTTTCTGATCTGAAAGTTGAAATTATGTTTCTCTGTCTTTACATTATTTTTTCCTGATACTTTTTTCCATCACGGTTATTCCTACTTTGCTTCCCTATTTCTCAAACATACTCTAGATTCACCAGACAGCAATTTTAGCATGATTTGCCATCCGTTATTTTTGTACTACACTCAGTTTGTGTTATCTCTACTTGGCCTCCTAGACCTACTAATTGAATCAGTGAAAGAAAGCCAAGTGGCTGCTCTTAAGTTCTTTTGCTTTTATGTTATTCATTAAAGATTTCCTAAAATAGCCAGAAACTTTCTCTCTTCAAGTCACTTTTCCATTGTCTCTTTTCACACTCTAACAAAACAACATGCTTCCTCTTTTACTTAGGAGAATGAGTCAAGCTGACAAAAGTTTTACCTATACCCCACCTCTCTACTTCATTTTCCTGAGCTTCTAGAAATGTTTATGTACCTAAAAGTCCCAGGTAGTTTTTAATTGATATTGACATCATGAAGATGAATGCTCTTAAGGAGATCAGGTCCACTGTGGGAAATAGACAAGAAACAAATAAGTATATGTATGCTTATACCCGAGAGGAGAAATGTATATTGTTGAAGCATAGAGGTGGGAATATCTGCATCTCCATGAATCTTCATGAGATGATAAGGGAATTGTAAGAAATCTCCTGTGGCTAATATTACATTGTTTAGGATGAGTAAGCAGGTTTATATTTATTTGATTGATTTTTACTTTGATAACAATGAATTAACTCTTCATACTTACATTCCTTTTTTGACAGAAAGACCATAGAAACATTGAGAATGAAAGAAAAACAATATTTTAAGGAACCACCAGTAGTGTCAACTCAATTCCATTTATCTATTTCATCCTGTCTATTCTGTGGCATGGTGCTCGCTTTAATAACCTTATATTCCTTTTGATAAGAGTTTTTCTGACCAGGAAAGCCACAATGGTATTGACTTTTAAATAACCTATTTTTCCTATGTATGTCCTTGGAATAAGATAAATATGTACTTGAAATCAGAGTAATCTTTATCAAAGGAACTCACGCAAATGAACAAAAGCATCACATTTATGAGCCTATTTGTTACCTTAGCTGATACTCAAGAGTATATTTTTGTGTATAGACTTAAGTAGAATACAGCAATCAAACATGAAGCTAAAATTAGCAGACATAATGTCAAGGAGGAAAAAGTTTTCCTCTTTGATCATTAGATGACTATGACAGATACAGTACAAGGATCAATTTAATTGCCCTTCTCAAAACTGAGAAGCCGTAGTTGTAAATTCTTTGGAAGCACCTTTCTTCAATGTTGTGATGTCCATTTGGTTACATTTGGGTCAAAACAAATAATCCTTCTTACCATTCTATGATATAGTGATAATATGGCTGTGTTCCTTGATGGAATTAATGTAGTTGGATTCTCGACTGTCTAAAAAAATGAGAATGAAATTACTTAGAATTATTTTCAAGAAATAATTTGAATTCATGCTTCCTCTTATATTCAGGTTCAAAACACTGTTTGTGGCTGGAGAACGATGTGATGTGGAGACCCTGGAATGGTCCAAAAAGGTCTTCAGGGTACCTGTCCTAGACCACTGGTGGCAAACTGGTGAGCATTTTCCAGACATGTACAGAAATATTGCAGAAGTGTTCAAAAACGCTGCAAGGATTGGAGGAGACCCTGAACTATTACCATCAAGCATAAATTCAATTGGTTCTGGCTTCAGTAGAAATAAGCAATTCTTTGGTTATCCTTTTGTTAAAAATGTCTCTGTAAATGATATCAATGACACCATTTTCTTGGTCCTTAAGTATAAAGTATTGAAGATCTTGCTTGTTTCTCCTCCTCCTTGTTTTGGCTATATCCAAGAAGTCACTAAATCTCAGATTTTCCTTTGAAGTGGTTGTTAGATTCATATCACCTCAGCGCTCCCATTGCCTTTGAGCTGTGGCAGCTGCATTATCATCTGCCCCGTTTTAAATGACCCTCATCACTCATCTCTGGTCTCTCTGCTTTGCTGTATACCCTGCACAGTGTTCCCAGAGTACTTTTCTCAAAGCAATGTTTCTCTCATAAGATTTTCTGTGGTTCTCTGGATCCCTTCTTGTATTCTATAAAATTAAATGTATCTTTCTCCAAAACATTTATTATTATATATGCAATTTGTTTATTTACTTATTTGATTTATTCTGTTTTCCTCCAGCTAAGTGATCATTGGGAAACAAATTGTCATAGTAAGTGGATGTAACATAAAATTTGGTACAATTTTTTTAAAAAACCCACCTTTCTGCTGCTTCTGGTTTTTTTAAGATCATTTGTTTGTTTGTTTGTTTATTTATTTATTTATTTATGAGAAAGAGAGAATATGAGTGGGAAAGGGGCAGAGAGAGAAGGAGAGAGAGAATCCCAAGCAGCCTATGTGCTGTCAGCCCAGAGCTCACCATGGGGCTCAAACTCACAAACCGTGTGAGATCATGACCTGAGGTGAAATCAAGAGTCAGACGCTTAACTGATTGAGTCACCCAGGAGCCTCTGGAGGTACATATTTTAGTTGAATTCTATGTAGTTTAACAAATTAGATCAACCCTTTTAGATTAATGTTTTCAGAATTTTCATCTTCTGAGCAATTGGGGCAGAGTATCAAATTTGAATGAAAAAAGGTAGAAAAAATTTATTTGCAAAGATTAAGTCTGATTTTAAAACCAATAGAGTCTAGAAAATCAAGTGCGTGACTAAAACTGAAGTTCAGTGTTTGCTATTTTAGAACTCTTTGATTCTGATAAATGATACTTTTTACATTATCTTCTTGGTTATTGCTCTTTGGAAAAACATGTTTTCCATAGCTTTTGTAATACAAAATATAAAATGAATGATCAGAGTGGGATACAATTTTCTTAAGTAAAATGCAAATCAGAAAGAGTTTCTATCTCTCTAGTTTTATTTGCTAAGGGAGAAATTTTTTATCTAAATTCTGATTCATAACTATTTAGGAAATAAAAATAAGACTGAATTCAGAGAAAGAGCAGTGCCATATGTAGAAATATATAAAAACAAGTGCAGAACTGTTGCCTCTGCAAGGAAGAGTATCTATAGGATTGATGCATCCCCTTATTCACCAGGAAAATTGTAATAGTTATTCTCCTAGGCAGGAAGAGTAAAATATCTTGTGAACTTTAAGATGATTTTCCTTTCTTGGTCAAAATGAGGGGTTGTTTCCAACAGAAGAGTATTGTTTTTCCCCCATTACAGGTGACTATGCCAAAGCCTACTGAAGGAAACCAGCATATTAATATACATAAAATTATGATTCTTTTTTTTCTTGTTAATATCTTTGTACATAATAGCTTGGGCAGATGTATGTAGTTGGTGCATCCAGGCTTACCAAAAAGCTTACTGACACCTGGCAAACAAATATAGGAGGTCCCTGGTGGGTACTGAGTTTCACGTGAATTTGCAATTTTTTCTTTAATGTATTGTTCAGAGAAGATTAATAGCAACATCATGTCAGTGTGACGTCACTTTAATCAGGTTTGAATTGGTGCTCAATACTGTGGAAAACATAGTGGGTTTCTACTAATAATGACTGATTCTCTCCCCTCCCATCTGATTTTACGAAATTTGATATTGTGTCCAACTAAAGTACAGAAATACAAACATGTGGAGAAGTAGGTAGGTAGCCAGTCAGGTAGATAATTTTGTACTTTATAAATGAAATTCATCCTAGGTGATGCAGATGTCAGCTACTAACAAATTCTCATTAGAATTTTTATTCATTTGCATAGAAGGCATCGATTCATTATTTTCAAAATTGTATGCTATGGTAAGTAACTGCAAAGTGATATTCAAGTTTAATGTTTGAAGCTGCTTTTAGAGAGAGAGAGAAAGAGTGTGAGTTGGGGAGAGGGGCAGAGGGAGAGAGAGACTCTTAAGCAGGCTCCACACTTAGCATCTAGCCTGACATGGGTCTCAATTCCATGACTGTGAGATCATGATCTGAGCTGAAACCGAGAGTTGAGACACTCAACCGAATGAGCCACTCAGGCGCCCCCCATTAACCATTTTTAAAGTGATATCAAATTAATGTTAAATCACCAGGGGAAAAAGGCAAGTACTTTGTGGGTTATTATTAACTTTTAGGAAAAAGAAAGGAAAATTCGATGTGTTTGGCACAGTCACAAATTTCCTATTATTTACATATTAAATAGAGGGGACATGTCCACAAGAGGGATGCCAGTGAAAACCTGATAGCATTTGAAGGCATGTTAAGCTTTGGCCAAAGACATACTTTTCATTTCATATTTCAGGTTTTCTACAGGATCTTTTCTCTTGTTATTGACTTAGAAATTGATTTATTATATAATTGTCACTTTTATGAGCCTTCCATACAATGTATAATTTATAAATTTGCTCACTGATTACACTAGTATATGTGTACAAATGGCTGCTTAGAAACTGTGATGTATGATTTAGAATTAATTAGGAATATGTTAAGTAACTAAAATGTATGAATAAAAGTTGATTAATTCCTGTACTTGAGTTATAAGATGGCATTCGGCAGTCAATCCATTTCATTACCGTGTTGTTTTTGTTAGGTTAGTGAAATTTGTATTAGCAACAACAGATTTCTAGTGACTTACGTTCTCTTTTGGCCCCTTGATATCAACATTCTTTAATGTTTGATTTAAATAATATCTAAGATTCTAAACTGAGAACTAATCTGTGGAAAATTTGAGGACCAATCAACTCCTTGCAGGAGCATTTGAATAAAAGACTTTTTGCTATTCAACATGGTTGAAATATTAAGCCTTTGTTTTGGATTGTGCTAATGTAAACATTTAATGCTTTCATAAATAAAATTTTTCTCGCTAAATTTAGATAGGAGCATTGTGTCTATTTGATTCATAAATCTGAATAAAAGACAAATTGCTGTCATTCATTCAGATTTTTTATCTTCACAGTAACTTATCCATATAATGATTGAAAATATCTGCATAATTCACTGAATCTTTCATTTTCTTTTATACATAAAGAGAAACAGAGGTACTACAATCATAATTTAAAAAGGAGAAATTAACGGCGCCTGGGTGGCTCAGTTAGTTAAGCATCCAACTCTTGATTTCAGCTCAGGTCATGATCTCATGGTTGTGAGATTGAGCCCCATGTCTACCTCTGTGTTTGCAGTCTGCTTGGGATTCTCTCTCTCTCTCCCTCTCTCTCTCTGCCCTTACTGCTCGTGCATTCTCTGTCAATAAATAAATAAATAAACAAGCATTTTAAAAATTTAACAAAAGAAAAAGGAGAGATGAAGAGAATAGACAGTCATCCCATTAAGATATGGTAATTCATGGGCAAAAATAAATAAATAACCAGCCAGAACTTCATTATCTTCAAGTGTACAATCACCAGATAAAACACTCTACTGTTATTAATCATTTTTAGCTTTTCCAGAAACGAGATACAAAGCACAATTTTAGAAAGCACTGTCTGTGCAGTGCATGGTGTCCTTTTCAGGAAGTTGTTGTTGTTATTTTTCTGACTAAAAATAAGTATAAATATCTATTTTTTAATGTTTATTTATTTTTGAGAGAGCAAGTGAGAGAGCGCGCGAGTGGTTAAGGGGCAGAGAGAGGGGGAGGCACAGAATCTGAAGCAGGCTCCAGGCTCTGAGCTGTCAGCACAGAGCCCAACATGGGCCTCGAACTCATGGACCGTGAGATCATGACCTGTGCCAAAGTCGGAGGCTTAACTGACTGACCCACCAGGCACCCCTGACTGAAGACAACTATAAAGGAATTATTTTCTTTATCAGTGAATGGCCAAGTACAAAAGAAAAAAAATCCTTAAATTTCAGAGACTAACTAGTAAAACCAAACACAGTAGACCTTATTCTTTTTTGAGGTTTTCTCCCTCTCCTCCCCTTCCCTCTCCTTCCCTTCCCTCTCCTTCCCTTCCCTTCCCTCCCCTCCCCTTCCTTCCCCTTCCCCCCTCTCCCTGTCTCTTCCCTCCCTTCCCCTTCCCTCCCCTCCCTTCCCTTCCCTCCCCTCCCCTCCCCTCCCCTCCCTTCCTCTTCCCTCCCCTTCCCTTCCCCTTCTCCTCCCCTCCCCTCTCCTTCTCTCCCCTCCCCTCTCCTTCTATTCTCTGTCCGCCCCTTCCCTACCCCCTCCCCTCCCTTTCCCTTTCTCTCCCCTCTCCCCCCTTTCCCTCCCCTCTCCTCCCCCCTCTCCTCCCCTTCCTTTTTACTGTAAGACATATTTAGAAAATATTGTAACAGGGTGTTCCCTGGTGGCTCAGTTCATTAAGTGTCTGACTTCAGCTCAAGTTATGATCTCGTAGTTTATGAGTTTGAGCCCTGTATTGGGCTCTGTGCTTACAGATTGGAGCCTGGAGCCTACTTCAGATTCTGGGTCTTCCTCTCTCTCTCTGCCTCTCCCTCGTCTGTGCTGTCTCTCTCTCAAAAATAAATAAATATTTTAAAAATGATTGTAACAGAACTGTTTGGCAGGCCACTTTTTAATATTATTTAGGTAGAAACACTATTTTTTCACATGCTATCAGTCAGTTAATTAAAGACAATGACTGTGAGGTTAGAATACTCAAGTTTCACAAAG